AAAACCCCCAATATTAAAAGTGACAGAACCAAAAAAGGGAAACCCCCCCCCCCCCCCGTTTATAATAATATATTTAATCCCAGAAAAATTTTGCAAAACCCAATGCGCCCCGAAAAAACACCCCCTTCTCCCCGAAAAACCCCCAAAGTCCGATATGCCCCCCAAAAAACCGTAAAAATGTTCCGATTTTCCCGCCCCAAAACCCGTCCACACCCGATACGTTTGCGGTACGGACGTTTTGTTGGTGTAACAATAGCATTAAATAAATGCAGACAATACGAAAAGAAGGGAATCATTCAGTCAAACAAGGAAGTATTTATTGCTTCATGATTGCTGACAATAAAAGCCAGTGGCTTAAGAACAGAAATCGTCGTGCCACTGGTAATCCTGTGGATTATGTTGAAGAACCCCTCCACATATTTGCACAGTTTCTGGCCCCCCATGTCCCGCCTCATGATGGTTTGGTTGTTCCCGGGGAAACCCCCAGTCCCCCGAGGCCCCCCCAAGGTCAAAACCCCCGTAGTGTTCGTAACCCATGTGAAGACATTAGTTAAGCCCCCAAAGGTCCCCCCGTGCACCAATCCCAATAACCCAGTTTGGTACTTTTTCCCCTGTAAAAATTATAGAATATTGAAATTAAGTTAACCCCCTTCATGATTTTTCAAAAATTTTCCCCTTCCCCCTGGTTGTTAATTTTCCCCTTGCCCGGGTGGGAATCATTAAAATTTTAATTTTTTAAACCCCCTTTCCCCCAACCCCCCCCCCCGGTCCAGGGCCCCCGAAAGGGGCCGGTTTCCCCCCCCATTTTTTTTTGCCCCACCCCCGACCCCCTTTTAAACCGATTTCCCCCAGTGTTTATATATTGTTGTTGTTATAAATTTGTTTCCGGGGCCCACCTTTTTTTCCCCAGTTTTTCCCGGAAAAGAATTATTAAAGAACCCCCAGTTTTTTGGGTTTAAAGAAAAACCCCAAACCCCCATTTTACTTATGTTTAAAAAAATTTGTTAAAAATTTGAAATCAAAAGTAGTTTTTAAAAATTTTCTAAATCCCCATTAATATTACTTCCCCCAGTTGGCCTGCACCTAAGAAATGGGTTTTTTTTAAGAAGGATTACTTCATCTTTGTTGCCCCCAAAGGACAACAAGTTCCCCCCCTCCAGCCCCCCCTTAGAACATCCCCGGGCCTCTGGCCACCTGGTCCCAATTTCAATATGTGTGTTATATTTTGAATTACACAGGACGTACTTCCCGTTTGAATTTGGGTATGAGGGGGGGCTGGATCCGCGGAAGTGTCACAAGCACCTGAAATGCGAGAATATTAAATTCCTCAGATTATATAAATGTGCTATTATAATTTTACATCTATACATAAGGTAAGAACTTATATTCACAGGTATTCCGCCCCCGCGTTAATTTTCAGTTTATACATAAAGCTTTTAAAAATAGTGAACAATAAATGAAATAATCATATGAAAAATAACGGTTTGCTGCGTTTATGTTTTCTTGCATCAAAAACAACATTAATACTAAGGTGCCAGACATAATATTAGATTTGAAAATATTGACATGAAGTACGTATAGTAACTGCAAGTCTAGATACAGAAATAACGCATCTCCATGACATCTTAGCAAAGAGCTAATATCCTGGATATGTATGCATATTATTTCTTAATATTAAGGGATTTTACTGGCCAGCAGTTTTTGGTACCTACTTTTGAACTCTTTTACTTAGTTGATAATGATGGTAGAACAAATACAAAAATTAACCAATAATTATTTTAAGTTAACCACATAGCACCATCAAAAGAAATGCGAATTAAAGTTGCACGAATGTAAGTCTGAAATTTCGAGAAAAATAATGTAGAAATGTGTAATACACCTGAAAATGCATCAGAAGTCCCATTTAAATGCAGATGAAAAAAATAAAGGGGGGGGGGGGGCATTTTATTAATACAAATTCATTCATTTAATGAAAACAAAGATAGATAGAAAAGGTCGGAAATTTTCTACGAAAAAGTAGAAATGTGTTGTTTTCTGTTGTTTGCGAAATCAACCAAGATTTACCATACATATTAATTATTTTACTGGTTCCCTTGACCCCCATATAGGAGGGGTTAGGTTTTGTGTAAGGGATTTCAACATGCTTTGGTGCTATTGGTCCTTGGAGCGTGTTTCCATAATGTAAGGTGTAATTATATTAGCGGTATAGTCTGCCGTGGATCTTCGGCGATGTGAAACGACTTTATACCTGCTTACATTGTGTCCATGCGTTCCTTAAACGTTCTTTATTAAATCTTTAAATTTATTCTTTATTTTACATATTCTATGCTCTTTTGTTTTTGAAGCGTTTAAAGTTTAAGGTTTAATACCTTTCATTTTAGCAATTAACATACCTGGATTTACGCCGTTTGTGAAACACTTATCGTTACAAAAAATCCTGTTGACAAAACAACTGGTGGACAGTTAACGTGTGTGTGCCGATATTAGGAAAGCTGCACATGCCTAATAATATATAATTTTTTATATATTAATTTTTTCATGTAACATTAATATTGTGGGTGAAAAATATATTGTAAAAATTCCTGTGTTATATTATCATCATATGTCTATGCGTTCACATGTTTTTAAAATTGTACAAAGTTCATCCTCTTTTATATGCTCACTATGCTAACTTCAACAATACATGTCTTTTATATGTGTCATGCATAATATGTAAATATGTTAATTGTATCATGTAACAAGAAACATAAAATGTTTGCGTTACTTAATAAAGAATCTTGAATCTATATTTTCTATTTATAGCCGCCTCTTCAATTATATAGTCAAAAGAACACGGTACTTGCTTTCCTCCTTTTTAAAAAACACACATATTAAAACAAACCAAATACAAAAAACAACAACAACAACAAAAACATTTGCTATCATTAAATACACATTTAATCTTTTTCACTTTTATTACACTAAACTTTGACAATCTGAGAATATTGAAATGAAAGGCAAGAAAATAACTTTTTTATTAAATTGATATAAACAATTTTACCTAATTAATCTTTGTGAAGCCAGTAAAAATATCTTTTTTTCCTTCTTTTTCCATCTTTATTTTTTATACATTTTTTTTTCAAAAACATGACACTGACTTCATCTGTCTCTTCTTGTTCTTTGAGTTATATGTATTGTATTGCATTGTATTGTATTGTATTGTATTGTATTGTATTGCATTGCATTGTATTGTAAATGCTACTATTATTTCATTCTTATAAAAATAAGCTTTAAACCCCTTTGGACTCAAAACATGGGTTGTATACAGTTTTAGAAAAAAAACTAGCAAGTTTTTTTGGGACCAAAACCAATGCAAATCCTTTGGAAAAAAAAAACAAAATTTGAATCATCCAAATGTCAAAATTTTTTTGTTAAAAATTTCGTGAACCCTAGATTTTTTAATTAATTCATGTAAAAATGTGCTCTCTTAATTAAAGTAATGTTTCATATTTACTGATGATTAATTTAAAACGTGATAATACCGTATTACATATACTCCTAGAAAGTTCTATGTGATCTTTGGTGTATTTATCAATTCGTCAGTAATACTTATTCTTCTATTGACTATATTGTAATTGTCAACTGTAACTTTAATGGATTTCACGATGAAACACTGTCACATATATCAACTGTATATAGTCTACTGTAGTCATCAACTGTATATAGTCTACTGTAGTCATCAACTGTATAAAGTCTACTGTAGTCATCAACTGTATATAGTCTACTGTAGTCATCAACTGTATATAGTCTACTGTAGTCATCAACTGTATAAAGTCTACTGTAGTCATCAACTGTATAAAGTCTACTGTAGTCATCAACTGTATATAGTCTACTGTAGTCATCAATTGTATATAGTCTACTGTAGTCATCAACTGTATATAGATAGTCTACTGTAGTCATCAACTGTATAAAGTCTACTGTAGTCATCAACTGTATATAGTCTACTGTAGTCATCAACTGTATATAGTCTACTGTAGTCATCAACTGTATATGGTCTACTGTAGTCATCAACTGTATATAGTCTACTGTAGTCATCAACTGTATATAGTCTACTGTAGTCATCAACTGTATATAGTCTACTGTAGTCATCAACTGTATATAGTCTACTGTAGTCATCAACTGTATATAGTCTACTGTAGTCATCAACTGTATATAGTCTACTGTAGTCATCAACTGTATATAGTCTACTGTAGTCATCAACTGTATAAAGTCTACTGTAGTCATCAACTGTATATAGTCTACTGTAGTCATCAACTGTATATAGTCTACTGTAGTCATCAACTGTATAAAGTCTACTGTAGTCATCAACTGTATATAGTCTACTGAAGTCATCAAGTATATATAGTCTACTGTAGTCATCAACTGTATAAAGTCTACTGTAGTCATCAACTGTATATAGTCTACTGTAGTCATCAACTGTATAAAGTCTACTGTAGTCATCAACTGTATATAGTCTACTGTAGTTATCAACTGTATATAGTCTACTGTAGTCATCAACTGTAATATAGTCTACTGTAGTCATCAACTGTATATAGTCTACTGTAGTCATCAACTGTATATAGTCTACTGTAGTCATCAACTGTATATAGTCTACTGTAGTCATCAACTGTATAAAGTCTACTGTAGTCATCAACTGTATAAAGTCTACTGTAGTCATCAACTGTATAAAGTCTACTGTAGTCATCAACTGTATATAGTCTACTGTAGTCATCAAGTATATATAGTCTACTGTAGTCATCAACTATATATAGTCTACTGTAGTCATCAACTGTATATAGTCTACTGTAGTCATCAACTGTATAAAGTCTACTGTAGTCATCAACTGTTGTCAGATTTGGTACACTTGCAAGTTCATAGCAATTATAATTAAATTACAGAAATTTAATGTATTATAAAGAACACTAAAAAACTTTTAGTACGACTTCATTGCCGTTGCGTTATATGACAATTGTATAGAAAATTCATACCTCCGACTCTTGACAAATTGTGACGTCACTACACGTAGAAGGGTCCCTCGTAGCATCGCATGTGAAACAATAAGGTCCTCTTTTGTCCCGCGATACAACTATAAGAACATAAAGATTCAATTCTTAAACCTTTTAGAATATACAGATGTTTTCGACTGGTATATTTGATACTAAAACCTGAACATGCGGCACAGTTCTATCAAATCATTACGAAACTGGTTGTTTTATACAAAAAAAAACAACAACAAACAAACAAACAAAAGCATAAAACAAACAAACAATAAATATATTGGTGTTATAAGTTGGTTATATAAGAGGGCTATGATAACATTGTAGTAATGAACGTAAAGTCAGGAAGTTTACCCTGTGTGTTGCAACCCTGTATGTTACAGTAATCCTTGTTGCAGCATTCAACACAAGTTGTTACAGCGGTGTCACGTATCGACATATCTCGCCTCCCTACTATAGTTCCAAGTGCGGGGCAAGTCTTTACAACAACATGTTCAATATGTAAATGGTATACATGTATTTCTCAAACACTAGTAAAATTATCATTCTTATAAAGAATTAGGTTTGCGTCTTTACAATCAGAAATAAAGATTCGGTATCTCTTTTAAGAAACATTATGCTATACAAGTACATGATGTAGTTTAAATAAGAAATCGCATCAATCATATCTAAGAGATATATTTCCTTTTCTTGTTTTTCATTTACTCGAACATATTTTTGTTTTTGTTTTCTCTTATTCATGTATTTAACAATTCAAAATTACCCGAAGATATTTTATAATATGTGTTGTATACTATTCACAAAATAACAATCATAATAATAATAATAATGTTACGGTTTTAGCTCGGCATCCTAAACTGTAGAGTACAGTGCCATCATATTGGACATACTGTCTGATGGAGCAAACCTGAATTTAAACGAAACTCTCTGCTGTACAATAATTATATTCATTGAAATAAAAATTTAAAACATATGAATTTTAACAAAATATGTACTCATATTTGAAAGAAATTAACAAGATAAAAGATAAAATAAATAATCGTTACTGATTAAAATAAACTGGTTGAAGGTCAGTAAATTGTTTTTGTTGATCAGTCTACAGCTAAACAAAATGGGGCCTGTTTGCTGATAATTAAAAATACTTTAAAAAGATACAATGTACAATATATGAAAATCATTACTGTTAAAACTAAAAACCCCTTACTGTTTAGGGATACAGTTTTCTTTTACTATCTAAAACAAATTTGCCATTGTTACTTTATAAAAAATATACGTTACTTATAAGAATTAAATAGACAAAACTATACCGATACAGTTTAAAGCTAAATAACAAATTTGTTATCGCTGTGTTCAAGTTAAAATTGATTTTGTTATTGAAACTATTTAAAACTGAATACGAAAATAGTCGCTGTGAGATAAAAAAAAAATAATATTTTAAGTAAATGTTCGTTTCTGTTAGAAAGCAACTAAATCGAGTGCAGAATGAGTGCAGAGTCAATGCTGAATTTATTTTGTATTCAACGAGTTGAATAAATCTATTAATGTAGGTACACGAATATAATAGTCTATTTACCACATATCCAAAGAAGAACTCATGTGCACGACCGTGCAACACCAATTTTCGGAGTCTCAAAAGCGGCACGGGTATGTAATAAAATAATGCCCTTAATCCGTATTCGGTATTTTGTTTTGATAGTTACATTCATGAAATAAAATTGCTTAATCAATCATCTATTTTGCGATCTTGTGCATTTTAGTTTAAAAATTCTAATGGTTGAGGTATACAGATATAATTCGTAATATGATGAATTTTATTGCACAAGAAGCTATATTTCCAACATGGTCACATGATATTGCTATGGACATACCTGATCTGGTCCACAAGTTTCAACTTTAGTACATAAACCAGGATCTGCTATGTCTGTACAATGGAAGCATCGCTCTGCTCGTACTGGAAGAAAACACATTTATACAAAAAACCATTTTTTCTCTGATTGCTCCCACCTGATATTTTCCACAACCTAATAGAAATTAGGTTGAAACCCTTTTTTAAAATTATTGTTCATCTACCATAGCATAAACAGTGTAATGTTGACACATTTTTGGCGATTGGTTTCAAATATTTCTATTCAAAAGTCAGTTTTTCTTATTATTTTTTATAAAATGGAAAATGGTCCCAGTTGGACCCGATATAGATTTCTAAAAGATCCTCCCTCTGGGACTCAGAAAGTTTGCTACGGAATACATGGAATACATAGTAAATTATAATTATCTAAAGAATATAATATTTTATTGAAATGCACTTTTTCACTAGACACAAGTCCATCCTTTGTTCTTCTATGTTTTGATAAAGAATGATCTTTGATTGCCCAAATGATAAAGAGTTAGATATATAAACTTATTGAAAGATGTTGATTGATCAGATGAAAATTTAATTTGCATCTGCTTTTAAGTCGCACTGTATTGACAACAACATGGGGACCTGAATTTGTTAAATAAATGCTGAATAAAATATTGTGTTCATAATTTAAACCGTAATGCATTAGATCTACTCGTGATTTGAGTTTTATAAAACATAAAAATGGTAAGTTTAAGAATATGTATACAATATCTATCGGATGATTTGAGTAGTTTATTCAAGAACAACATGTAAAACATATTTGTCAAGAAGTTAAAAATAGATTTGCTGCCATTCCATGTCACATAAAACATGTTTCACGATTATTGAAAACTTTGGCAATTTAAAAACTGAAAGATATGTATGTTTTACTATCTAAAATAATAAAATAAAAATAAATCAGAAAAACAATAATCACAGTTATTTCTTTTAGGAGAACTTCTAAAAATATATGAATAAAATGTCAGGAAGAACTAGAACTGCCACTATAATGGCGTGAATACCCCCGCATACCACTTTGTCAGAATCAACAGTGGCCATTTAGAGCTCAAAGACAACCTCCCTGCCAAATCTGAGGTTACTAAGCCAGTGCATTGCTAAGTTATGTATTCTACATGCTTCAAATGTGAAAATCTCAAAATCAATACACTGTGGACAGGACATACTTAAGCAATTAAGAAGAAAAGCTTTTTTTGTCAAGGCCCCTGTGACCTTGACCTTTGACCCAGTGACCTCAAAATCAATAGGGGTCACCTTATAGTCATGATCAACATCCATGGCAAATATGAAGACTGTGGGTCAAAGGAATCTTAAGTTAATGGGTGGACAAACATTTTGAAGTCAAAGTCCCTATGACCTTGACCTTTGATCCAGTGACCTCAAAATCAAAAGGGGCCATCTACTAATCATGATCAACATCCATGCCAAATATGAAGACTATGGGTCAAAGGAATCTAAAGTTATTGGGCAGACAAACTTTTTTAAAGTTAAGGCCAATGTGACCTTGACCTTTGACCTTGTGACCTCAAAGTCAATAGGGGTCATCTACTAATCATGACTAACCTCCATGCTAAATATGAAGACTGTGGGTCAAAGGAATCTTAAGTGATTGGGCGGACAAGCTTTTTGAAGTCAAGGCCCCTGTGACTTTGACCTTTGACCTGGTGACCTCAAAGTCAATAGGGATCATCTACTTATTATGACTTGCCTCCATGCCAAATATGAAGACTGTGTGTCAAAGGAATCTTAAGTTATTGGGCGGACAAGCTTTTTGAAGTCAAAGCCCCTGTGAGCTTGACCTTTGACCTGGTGACCTCAAAATCAATAGGGGTCATCTACTAATCATGACTTACCTTCATGCCAAATATGAAGACTGTGGGTCAAAGGAATCTTAAGCTATTGGGCGGACAAACTTTTTGAAGTCAAGGCCCCTTTGACCTTGACCTTTGACCTAGTGACCTAAAAATCAATAGGGGTCATCTACTTATCATGACTAACCTATGCCAAATATGACGACTGTAGGTCAAAGGAATCTTAAGTTATTGGGCGGACAAGCTTTTTGAAGTCAAGGCCCCTGTGACCTTGACCTTTGACCTAGTGACCTCAAAATCAATAGGGGTCATCTACTTATCATGACTAGCCTCCATGCCAAATATGAAGTCTAAGGGTCAAAGGATTCTTAAGTTATTGGGCGAACAAGAAAAAACCGACGGACAGCCGGACGGCCGGACAGCCGAACGGCCGGACGGACGGACAAGCTGATTCCAGTATACCCCCTTACAACTTTGTTGTGCGGGGGTATAAAAATGTGTATATAAACTAAAAACAACAACATAATAACATCACTAAAGGTTTTATCATTTAGTAAGAACTGTGCAAAAGATAATATATGTCAATTTTTTTAATTATTTATGAAGTTAAGTTTACTCAAGCTATAGAAATTTACATTTCAAGATACTCAAGATTTTTTATTATTCACTCAATACACAATACATATAAATATGAGGTACTGCAGTAAATAACAAATTACAAATGTTAACGAGGTTAATAGAATGTAACTCACACATCTTATAATATTCTTTTAACAAATACAGGAGATAGTTAAACATTAATACAAAATAAAACGAATTATTTCAAAAATATTTATCAAAGTTTAATATAATAATTTAGTTCAATATGTTTCTAAGATCATTTTTATACAAATGCAAAGATTTTTTATATATCACATAATTAGAGAGATCAGTGTTCATTCATTTATCAACCTTTATAATATTTGTATTTCCATATAATAGATTTCAGAGATATATCTTTTTCTATCCCTATAACTACTATTAACCCTTTCCCCCATGAGCATATTGTGAAAAATGGCCGTTTTCACTGAAAAGCCTCCTGTTACAAGTTCAAACTGCTATGAAACTATGAAAAATGCTTCAATACTAATCAAACTTGGCACAAATGTTGACTGGACCATTGCCTTTGTAACGACAGGCTCAGTCTTAAATTTCCTGTTACCATGGCAACGAGGGGACATCTAAAAATTGCCAAAAATCACTATTTTGCCTCGTTTTTTTCCATCAAAATTTATTTCAAAGTGCTGCAACTGCTCAAGGGATTGAGATAGAGTCAAAGGCTTTTCAGTGTTGGTTAAACGTTACATTATGATCGACCTGGGGTCATTTTTAGCCTTTCACAAGTCCAAAATTTTATGAGGGGGACTCCGCCCCCTTTCAAACCCCCCTAACATTTCCTCAGTTACCTCATTTAACTCATTGCCTATATTATCTAGCGTCTCTATAGTCAAAAGCTTTGAGTAGATATCAAAAAGCCTATCTTCCTATCTTATTAGTACAATAGACATGTGCTTTATCTTGATCAAATATCGTGACTTTATTTAACTTTGGTGTTGAGTCATTTGAAGGCTTGTTGCAAAAATCTAATAAAAGTGAGATCGGGCAATGGACATCAGAATACATAGGGCAAAAATCGTGCACAGTCAAACTATCAACAAACTTAAACATATCAGATGTACAAATAAAATAATCAACGCTTCTAACATTTTTACAGGTACAATTGCCATTTAAATCACCGTTCGTTCTACCATTCAATATATAAACATATCATTTGCTTGTAAAAATTCGACAAATCAATAGTCATAATTATTAGCACATCTATATCACAATTATTTCTTTGTCACTTAACAGTATAGTGCAATAATTAAACTTTTCAATGTTTTCGTTCAGTTCAAAGTATATATCATCTAGATTATTGACATTAAAAATATCATAATTCGTTCAACAATATCATTAAGTAATTTTGTTCTGGAGTTCCAATCCCCAAACAAACATATATTAGCAGAGTTTTCTGAAAATTTCTCTATTTCATATTGTATTTCTGAAAATGGGTCTGGATTGGAAAAATCTGAGTTTTCTGGTGGCACGTATACTACACCATACAAAGTATTTTCATTTGCATTTATTTTATCGGAATATTGAACCATCAAACTAAGCTACTGGCACTCTCTAAAATCATTAAATATGGACTTAATGTTTCTTAACACAAAGAACAATACCACCAGACTTACGTTTTGCAATTTGTTTTCTGTGCTTAAAAAATAGATGAAACCCATCTAGATCTTCAATTGTATCCAAATTGTCTTACTTTGTTTCTTGTTAGCCTATAATGTCAAATTGCTGAATAAAAGAAATGAATTCAGGGTAAATTTGCTTAGACTTTAACACGCACACTTTTATAGAACAAAATTTTAAGGTTTGTGACACATATTGGTCATGTACACATGTACATTCCAGCACCCTTCATTCACACTAATTTTCAACACCCAAACATAATGATCCGCATACGAACGACAAAAAAATCACCGATTTGCATATATATATTATTTCGATTCTAATTACCACATCAACAAATAAATGCTGCCGTACCTGATATTAAGCAAAATTGGGAGTACTTATATTAAGCGCGTCGGATTCTTTTAGTGGTTACGTCACATATCTAAATATAGAACGTCAACTGTGACTCTATGTATATGTTTGTGTTCATATCCGTGCTGTTCTACAGAAATAAGAAAATTCGACGGGAGCGATAGCGACAGGAGAATGTTTCTAATTTCTGTAGAACAGCTACGGTTCATTATTATTCACTTAATTACGTCAGTGCTACGCGGTTCTATGAAGTACTATGAAACATAGTTCTAAATTCTGGAAACAAAGTGATCCCTCGGAAGCATTAATCACAACAAAATAACATAAGAATTGCAGACTCGGTTTGATTGAGTCTGTACATGAGGGATAATGAATAAGTGCAACATCCCTCACGCCCCCTAGCACCGGCTTGAGCGGTACTCAATTCTCAACACTTTATAGTGTTGGCATCAATGATCCCGAAGGACCAGAAAATATAACAACACTGAAGTGAAGTACGGGGCAACATTTTACGGCTGCCACACGGCACTTGACACCTGCTTTTGTGAAGTACAAAATTCTGGAAACAAAGTGATCCTTCGGAAGCATTAATCACAACAATATAACATAAGAATTGCAGACTCGATTTGATTGAGTCTGTACATGAGGGATAATGAATAAGTGCAACATCCCTCACGCCCCCTAGCACCGGCTTGAGCGGTACTCAATTCTCAACACTTTATAGTGTTGGCATCAATGATCCCGAAGGACCAGAAAATATAACGACACTGAAGTGAAGTAGGGGGCAACTTTTTACGGCTGCCACACGGCACTTGACACCTGCGACTATGAACGGTATTCGACATAGAATCGACTTTTGTTCCTCTATGAAAATCAATGCACAGAATTTTGAAGAAATACAGCGTTTTCATTGGATGACAAATAAATTGGACACTAAAGTATAATATTGCACGGTGTACCGTTCAAAGTCATTCATGTTGGCCGTCGTGGTTATATTCCTGCGCATCTGAACTAGGACCGTGCAATATTCTACGGCAATGCACTCAAAATTGACATCTATTTCCTAAACAAAATATCTTATAAATGTATGTAAGATAATTGGAACTCTTCAACTCACCAAAATAGAACGCCCCAATTAAGCCGATTAATTTAAAATTCACTGCAAACATTTCTTCCCTTTTGCAAATATAGTAAGTAAGGTCAGATAAATCATATCATGAATTAATATGTCACATGATTTGTGCAATCAGAGTTTCTCAAATATAGGCCAGAGCGTCATCAGTACATTGATAGAATAACAATTTCAATGTTTATCTCTGCAAGCACCAAGAATCGTGCTGTAAAGGTCCAAGTTTTAAAGACAGTTTACAGCAAGTTGCCAAGTTCAATTCAAAGATTACACGTTAAAGCAAATAATTCACGTCTTGAAACAAATATCGGTAGAACCAGTGCGCGCACACTATTTAATTACTGAAAGTTTGAATAATAATAATATGTATCAGTCACTCAACTCAAATATTATTGGAACATTTATGAATTAATATTACAGTGAATTTGCACGCATAAAAGTGATGTTGCATAAAAACTAACTTAAAATGAAATTCAATTTTAGTATAAACATACGTATATATTGTATAAACCAAGCCATGAATTGTTGTTCAAACAAACACGCATGTCTTTAACCGTATATATACCTGCTTTCCTTTCACTAAGTTTGAAAAAAGAGCGATCTTTTTTTAATAGAGACTTTTATTTTGACATCTTTAACAAAGATTTTCTAATACGATGCGAAAAAGAAATGTTCTTTGTATGAATATGTCTGCAATGGTGCCAGCAAAATATTCTTAAGTGTTCAATTTTGTATTGTGAGCGAATACTTTTACAACTTGCTTAAAGCACTAAATGCGACGGCCTGAAGTACAAGCATAAGGAAAATGAAATGCGATATATCAAGGTTTCTTATTTATTTGATGTATTGTGCATCTCTGTAGTAATATAATTGATTGTAATAAAAATATATTGAAAAATTTTGTTGTACAACGTACACCCAAATTAGAGAACATGTTAGCCAACGCGCCATTCGCCTAATCATAATTTCAAACAGGTGCACGCGAGGTATACAGTGTACAGTCTTTGATGACCAAAAGTCAACATAATTTACAAATGACTGATTGGTTGATTGTTTGATTTAATAAATGAATGATTGCATATAACCATACAATGCATGTACTTTCAACATGGTTGCAAGGAGGTCAAATTGTATTCATTGTTAAAGTCCCATATCTATAAACGTCTATAAAAGGAACAGTATCAAAACACGAAACGACCCTGATGCACTTATCCCAGCAAACACAAGACGTCATACTGACGTCAGATTTAAGTCAGGTTCTGACGTCGGATGACGGTCGGAAAAACGGTTGGATTTGAAAGTTTTTTTGACGTAATAATATGACGTCAGGTAGACGTCAGAATCTAACCATTATTTAACCTTCTTCTGACCAAAATCTGACCATTATCTAACCATTTTCCGACCTCAATCTGACCATTTTCCGACCTGAATCTAACCAGTTACTAAACATTTTCCGACCTCAATCTGACCATTTTCCGACCTAAATATTAACCCTTTTCTGTCCTAAATCTGGTCATTTTCTGACCTTCATTTGATCATTCCCCTAATCTTTTTTGTTTCACCACGTCATAAATATGTTCTGGCTAATCCTGATTTGATCGAATTTAATGTAACTCATTCTATTAAGTAACTTTCCCTCCTATGAAATGTATAACAGAAAACTAAAAGAAAAATATGTTTTATGCTTTTTTAATTTAAAATGAAAGTTGCAATTTTAAGCTGATACATACAATTTTAGTAAATTCTGCAAGGTTAAATAATTTTCATAAATTAAACAAAATAAAACATAAAATAAGTTAATTACAAAACAAAAAGGGATTACAAATACAATGACATAAATGAAACTAAGAAAATATATACAAATATTAAAGAACACAACAATGTATGCACATTTCTATCAAAGTTTGCCTTATCAAATAAAATAATGAAAATATTATAATTTTAAGAAAAGTGAAAAAGATTCTGATAATAATGTTTCAAGCAATTAATGACAGAATTTCAGTATTTTAACTATATTTCTACAGCATTTCTAAAACATTTAGTGCCATTTTGCATATTTTGACCTCCTTTGATAATTGTCAGAAATGTATAAATTGCTGCCTTTTAGTTACTTCACAAAGTTATACTTTTAGATATCCATGAGAATTAGCACGAATTTTGAGGTGTGATGCTTTAAGATATGACCTTCTTTCAGCACCCCTCGTCTGTCCGGAGGATATGTAGCGTTTGTAGCGTCCAATAGCGTGTGTGACATCATTTTCACTGAAAAAAAAGAAATTTATGAAACATGTAAAAATAACAAGCAAAAATGTTTTCATGGTTATCTTAACTTAATGAACAATTTTGCCAACTTTTTATGAGAGCTTTAACAAAAATTAAAAGTAAACATAAATACTGAACATTTAAAAAGCCGCTTTTAAACTCCAGTTTAGTATGGATTAAAGTATGTTATAGAATTTACAAAAATCTTACTGTCATATGTTTCTTTTTACATATTCACGTGTTTCCGTCCCTCCGACCTTTGAGAGCATGTCCAACACTTAACTACCTGAAAAGAAAATTATATTCTAACTTATGTTACAGTATATTCTACGTTTGAAATAGAACAGTTACGCAAGTCTTAAGGTGACAACAGACACTTTCCGTGGTAATCACATAAATGTCATTTAAACCAACTTATTTTAGTAATAATTGTTATTTATTTAATCTTTGTGCATTAAATGTCGTTGATCATCATAAAAAATAACATATTTGAAAAAAATGTCTTTGTAAATGATTGATTTTTAATAAAAATCCTAAAATTTTAAATCGTCATATCAAAGTCATTTTTTATTTTTTTGTCATCAAACTTTTGGAAAATAAACATACTTATAATATCTGGGGAACCGTGTCTCAAATTTTGTCTATCTTTTCTCAAAAAAATATTACGTAACGTCAAACATTTTATGCGACTTTTTTCACCATACATATTACGTAATTAAAGATAATTAAGTCGCTGATTGAGCAAACAAAAATCCCTGACACGGTTCCCTCCGTAAATGAATTCCCTTTCATGTGCTTTAAACCGCATGTTAATTGCTTGATTATTAAAAAAGTTATGCCGATTCAAAGTTAGTCCGATCCGCATCAAACGAAGTGTCATAAATTGGCTGTTCTCTCTCGGACCCCTACGTTTCACGCTAAATAATTACATAATACACAAATATCGCACCAGAGAGGGTCACAAGTTGCGGTAACATACACTAACAACATTTTATGACCCAGTGACATCTGACCAATTAAAAAGTTGCTGATTAATATCAGTTTATAACAGAAATTTCTTCACATCTTAACGTGATTTACCGTTAGTCTGGTATCGGTTGCACATGTCACGTGACTTTCGGTAAAATTTGAGGCACTCGGTGGGGGGAAATGGGACGTATTTGTGCACCGCTAGCGGGGTATTTAATTGTTTCACATTTGAAGTTTATTATTATTATCATCAGCATTGTTATTATATTATGCCAGTGTTACTCTATCTGTGTACTTGTGTATGAAATTCCGTTAAAATATAAATTAAAATAACAAAAAAACTGAGCTTCTGGCAGTATTTTAAAGTCCATGGTAGATGTACAAATAAGAACGGGATTTTATATATTTTTTCCTCCAAATTGATATAAATGCTTCACATATTTTAATAGAAATAAAAGGTATCACTCGATCATTATGATCTGACCTTCTTGACTTCTATTATCATGAAAATCATCTATGCACGGCATAGAGATCCAGTTTCTACTGGGATATACAATAAATTCCAAACTTTCTCCCAGGTTTATTAGTACTGTGTTCGATTTACTAGCGAACAATTTTTTCAAAGCATTCACTGATAATTTATTTTATTATCTTTTTTATTGATTCATAGAGAAATAATCATCCTTAGACAACCTAAAATGGTTTAGAAATTTGTCAGGGAGACCTTACCACAAGTCATATAGGCGTTCACATAAAAAATGTTGTCTGTTTTTGTTGTTGTTTTACTTGACATTGTTAGAAAACGAGGTTGAATGTAAAGCAAGCCCTTGAATCCGTACAAAAGTCCATAAACTCAATGTAATATCTATCAGATTAACGGGACAGACAAATTATTTTCACACATTATGGATATTTTAGCAACTATATTTTTAATCAACCCCGTGGTCGTGCGATTTGTCGCTATGCTTAGTTATTTATGTTTCATACATTATGTTACGTACATTGGCCGACAATTTCTTATTTTATAAAAAAAGGCTAAATAAAAGGTAGACGATATTCATAAAAGATGTACGGTATTTGTACGATACATGAATTACGAGTAGTATGGACCAGTATGGACCGGTAATTCACGCATATATGGAACTACCGATTTCCCTCATTGATGCCTCAACAGGGGGCGGAGCGTTATCGATAATTGACAGGTTACGCGATAGCAGATAAAAATAGTACAGGTACCGTTTTAAAACGTTTAAAAACACATTTTTTGGACTAACTTCTTCCAAAATTAAATCACGAATGTGTTCAGAAAAGGTTGATAAATATACTAAGCAAAAAATCTCATTTTAGGTATTTTCAGTGATAATTGACTCCGTTGTCACCTTAAATATTTCATAGTTTTAAATTAAAGATTAAATGCCGAAATGTCTGAATCCAAAACGTCTTGGGTTATTTGGGACCGGAACGTTTTGGGTTATTTGGGACCGAAACGTGTTGGTCCGAAATGCTCGAAATCGTACAAATTCATTCTCAATTCTCAGATTTTAACTGACAAAAACATCACAGTTTAACAAAAATATGAAAACTAAGCATTCTCTTTGGTAGTACTGAAAGGAATATTATAAACTCTTTACAAGCAGAGTTAAAACATGTCAATTTTAAAAAGATTTATTATTAGACATTAATTTATCGCGAATTTGTGTGACATTTTACTTCAGCTGTTCAAATAATGATAATTAAATTTAAGAGTGCTTGCAATCATGCAATTATTTATCTAATACAAAGTAGAAATAAATCTAAATAAATTGAACTGACCTTTTTGTTCAAGAAAATCTATAATATTCACTTTATCAGTGCATCCCGATTCCTGCCTGACAGCCAAAACGTAACGCCTACGAATTTGAATTTCCATCCACGTGACTTTAGATTCGAATTATAGGTTAATTACGTTTTCTTTCCCTTTTCTGTCACTATGATTAAATGTTAAAGCACTATTAAAAAACTCGTGATTTTGATACATATAATGTACAACAAATGATAATATTATAACGTTAAATGATTGGAACCTGTAAACAGATCTGTGGCTATAAATAGATTTCATAACAATAACACATGTAACTTGCCTATATACAGCGCCACCTATATGTTTTATTAGGTTGCAGCGCCGCGATCTTGGTCTGTATTTATATAAGAACATTTCATTTGTAATCCAAATAACATTTGAAAAAAAGTTTAAATGATTACAACAGCGAATAAGGATTATTTTCTGTTATTTTTTTACCTACCGTCAGGACACCGACCAGAACCTGATGTTAGTTCCACGTCAAAAAGAAACGTCTATTAGACATCGGTATTTTAACGTCAGATTTACGTCGTATTTTGGTCGCCGACGTCGTGACCAAAATCTAACATTAATCCGACGTTATTTTAACGTCATGTGTTTGCTGGGTATCATGTCAAGATAGTTAATTCCAGTTTATGACTTTTTCACACTTACGAGATATAATGTAAAATAGTAATACAATGTACATATATATAACGTAAAACGTGCTTGATTACCAGGAGCACATGGAAATCTGCACATAAATATAACGTCATTCGTTAAAGTTTACATTATTTTTCTTATTATATGGTTTGATGACGTCATAAATGAGAGCTTATGTTTATGAGGCAAAAACATCAGTAAAACATACTTAAAACCCATAAAAAAGCATGAAATAAATAAAAAAAATTGTTTGTTTTGTATGTTGGATCAAATTATATTCCACCCGTTTTTATTGCGCAGCATAAACATTTAGCTTGTTCTACATTCAGGGCTGGGAATCAAAACTGCGTCGTATCCTACAAAATATAAACAAACGCCGCCATCTTGGAACGAAAAGTGTATGTTTTTGTTTATAACTCTTTTTGTTATAAATGACTGAACACAAGATATACGTATTAACACGCTACACTATTTTCCGCTTCGTTCGGTATATAGTGCTTGCACAACTATTTTGTAGAACAAAAGTTATAGCGAACTTGCAACTCGAAGCGGGGCAGAAATTTTATGAAAATTTGTGGATACGACGCAGTTCATATTGCTTTATCTATCGTTTTGCCTTCAAATTAATTATATACTCGTTTTCAGAGTTCACCATGAACGTCAAAACATAATTTTGCATCATTTACTTAACTTTCATTTAAAAGAGATGTTTATTTTCCAAAAAAAATAATGATTTTTACGAAATGATACGACGCAGTTGAAAATAAAATATGATACGACGCAGTTGTATTTTCATTGCAGTTAAACTATTTAAATTATGTGCTAGGTATGCCAATAACGTCCTACAACATTTTTTGTTTACAACTTAAGTCAAAAGCAGAGGTCACTAATTGGTTTCATAAAAATGGAAATGTAATACAATTCTATTAAGGCTGCATTTTTCGGTCGCATTTTAGTACTAATCATAAGCATCTACAAATTCCGAAAAGCTGTATCAAATGCAATATACATTGAAACACGTGATCGCACACCCATATGACAACGTGTTCTAGTGTTGCCTTAGCATGCTTATAAACTTGTTCACGTGAGTTCGAAATGGGAGTGATTACTATTTTTGATACAAAATTCAATATTCTAGTGTAACCTCCACTGGACCCTGTATTAATCAGGAATTACTTTTTTCTTAAAAAAAAAAAAAAGAGAAAAAATTACAAATTTTGAAAAGGTCTCTCGCTATCGGGAATGCGCAAATTGCATGCCTACCGTTGTTACTTGTAATGAGCAATAATTTCCGTCAATTCCATTATTACTTATGTCTTTTAGGTGCCAATTTTATTGTATTCATTTTCTTAATAATCGACGAGGACAGATGAGCTTTATTATTTGAAACTGAACATTAAATTTTTTAAATTATATTATAAATGGTTAAGCTACAATATATTTTTGCAAGTAGATTATGCTTTCCGTTTAGTCATTTTATGTTCAGCGCCGCGGAACTTTACCCCTGCGTTTCTTTATCGTCGATGAGGAAAGTTCTACGGAATGTATTTTTTTTCTATATTTGCACTTAAATCATTCTTCTCCATCAAAAAAACTTTTCAAAATCGAGTTACATATGATACAACTACAAATTATTTTGTAAAAAAGGTGTCCGTTTTGCAAAGGTATTTACGCTATGCACCGATAAATTTGATACAGATATAGGCAGACATGATCTTTCAACAGTATTGAAGAATTATTAAGTTTTCACAATATTGAACAGAAAATGTCAGATTATCGTATCGAATTTTCAACAGACTAGATACATGACATCTTAACATACCTTCATACTAAAGTGTGATTTTTATTTGATAATGAATTGCCTGAAAACTTAAACAAAAGTTTTCAGAAAATGACTTCACAGAGGATTACCCCCTGTTTACATTGAAAATTTCTCTGCTATACATGTATATACCGAAATAAGAAATTTAAATTTTATTCTCTTTATAATTATTTCAAATATTTATAATCTTAAAACTTCACGCCAGAAGTTAATAAAAAAGCTGCTTATTTGTACAGCTGACGTTAACAAATTTTGTTGAAAAAAACAAATCAGACAGGTGTGTGAATTTAAGTTAATAGATTTCTACATATTTTTTTTTTTGCGAAAAAAATTGGGGATAATATTGAACATACAGGAAAATATAAGAAAATATTTCAGATATTATGATCAATAAGGTAACATGTTCATGTTTAACTGAAAAGTAGCTTCCGCAATGTTAACTTTCAAATTAAATGTTATATTGGACATGACACATTGTATTCTAAATAATCAACAGAACATTGCTTTACACCGCAAATGATCTGGGTTTTTATCTAGCGCAAGTGATTATTCCATAAAATAGAAAAATTTTGCCAAAATTATTCATGTTGAAAAGACTGCCAAAAATACAACTGCGTCGTATCATATTTTATTTTCAACTGCGTCGTATCATTTCGTAAAAATCATTATTTTCTTAAAAAATAAACATGTCTTTTTATGTCAACATTTCAATTTGTTGTATCTTTGCCTGAAGAAGTTTTCTCTGTTTGATAATTTTCAAGAATAACAACTACACTTTGAAATTGAAATGGCCATTTAATAAGTCAAAGTCAAAATTTTATTTGCAATTCGGAAGATATCTGCCTTTGGCAATACAAACATAAATATACATATGGCAAACACACAATAATAAATCTAACAAAAGCAAACATACATTGAATGAACATTATACATAATAATGCATATATTGTGTTAAGATTATTTTTGGTATATCGACAATTTAATACCAATCATAGCAAAGATCTAAGATTGTTTTAATATTTATTTTATAATTGTTCATTTCTTCTATCAAATGCATCTCTTAAGAATTTGCTTAAATGATATAGATTTTTTCTTTTAGAATTTGTCATTAATCTAGAAAATTTATTTAGATTTGGAAAAGTGTGTGGCACTTTGTATTTGATTCTTAAATCTCTATATAATGGACAGCATAAAAGAAAATGATAAATGACGGAATAACATATAATACAATGTTGATATGAAAGTTATCAAACTAACATAAAATTGTGAAATGGCCATTTAATAATAAATGACATATAAACATATAAAACAATGCTGATATGAAAGTTATAATATAACATAAAATTGTATACAAAGCAAAGCAAACATTTCTGAAAAATGTACTTATAAAATTATATACACACATATCCCGAAAAAATTATCAAAGGTTGGGTTCTAAGAATATTGCCACAAATTGTGTAAAACACAATTCCCCCAACCAAAACTTCTTTAATGAAATTGACTAGTCATGTAAAAGGGGACAAACAAAATTATTCTTTAAAATGTTTGAAACAATGCTAATGAAATAAACAAGAATTATTAAAAATATGTACATCACAAGATGATAACTAAACTACCTAAATATAAGACAACATTTTTATTGGCACTACGGATTTAATTGACTGTATGTGTTAGAAGGTACCTTGTATGTCAGAGGCCCTTGTCCCCATGACATAAAGTAAACTTGGTGACTGAAATAAATGTTGTCTTTATTTAGATTACCTTTTTAGAGTAAAGGTGTATACTGATATCACCATATGTGTAATATCCAAGTAGATCTTAAATTGATACAAATTTAAAATATAACCATGCTGGCATCTTAACCTAAGACATGAAGTTTTTAATTTACCTTAACACAAAGGAATAATCATGAATTTAAAATTGAACATTATGTACATAACAAGAGATATACAAATTCTAATATCGTAATATGAACATATAACATATTATTGGCACAAACTTACAAGTGAGTGTCTGTGTTTGAAAACAAGTTTTTGTCAGAGGCCCGTGTCCCCATGACAGAAAGTGATGTTGTGATTGTAATAATTGCCGCATTCCTTGAAAAATACATAAAAAAGGATTATGTGCATTCTGATGCAAAGATATTAAAGATTGAAAAAAGAAAAAGTGTTAAATAGCAAACTCCAGGTACTTCAAATTGGCACAATGGTTTAATAAATATATATTGTTTTGAAAACACCTTACTGTCAGAGGTCCCTGTCCCCATGACATAACTTAATTTAGTGACTGTTGTAATGCTAGAGAAAAACACATGTTTACAAATTATTTGCATTATTTTGTGAAAGTTGTACATTGAGATCATATTAATTTGAAAGAAAATGTAATCAAAGCAGAATGACTATGGCTATATGTCAAAGGCCCTTGTCCTTATGACAACAAAGTTAACAATTGTTTTTACAAATCTTGTGAATGCTGCTTTACAATTAATGCATGTAAAAACTTATTATGCATTTGTTAGAGGACTGCTATCATATTTGCCATTAATTACACTTGTAACATAGGAATTCTTATATACTTTTTAAATGCACAAGATGACCATATGCCTGTAAGGTCAATCATTTCTTCTGAAAAAACCTTGTTGCGCTGCAGTGGAGGCAGCTCCAATGTTCCCCCCCAGTCTTATTCTTTAGCACACAACTGTGCAAGTCCCCCATTTGTAGCAATGTGCTATAGACAGCAGTAAATGTGAAACTAACACGGGCCTTTCAAGCTTAAACAATATGAAATAGTTCTTTTTACAGTTATGTGATATTTCAACCATTCATTAGGCCAACTGGGCTGAAAACCATTTGTTTGACAGGTACCCTCCAAAATCTGACATTACTAGAATCTGTGAAAGATCTAATGACACAGAAGTGACTTCAATGGTCAGGTAGAAACATCGACTTGCCATTAAATTGAAAACATGAACGATGACCATGCCAGAAAATCTGCTCAGCATCTTTTGATAACTGTCTATGATGGTGAGATTTCTTTAAAACCAATAGTTAGATCAATGATACGACGTAAAAAATGCCCTGCCTGGAACAATAACAGCACAAGCAAAATTAAGCAAACCAATAACAGACTGTAGTTCAAGGAGAGT